TAGTCCACAGATGATACAAGGGAATCCAATCCATTGGACTTATCTATCCTTAGTTACCATGTACCTATAGTCTCTCATCAATCTAATATCTCAGAGATCATATTTCGGACATGGTGCTGTCAGACCCATAGGGTTTCTACTCGAGCCTTGCTCTAATCAGATTCTTCTAGAGAACTCTTTCTCTCTCAATCCGATGACCTTGGCTAGGGATTTGTCTAAGTAAGAACATATAGGATATTCCTCTCATGACACGAGAGCGGATGATCATCTATCAATACTCAATAGCCCTCGTAAGATTGACTGTCACTCCTGATAACCAATTGTGCTAGGTTTGGAACTTCTAAATATATAAGTCCGATATCAAAGAATTGGGTACCCATACAGGACATCCTTGGTGTCTGAAGTTTAAGGACAAGTTACACCACTAGGACAACGAAATCACTTTCTGATAATGAAGTATCATTAACCATCCAACATTTCGTGAGTAGATCAATTAGTAAACTCATTCTCCAATGAGCACCTGCAATGTAGCCCTAGTGTCCCCATACGAGTAGCTATGATACTAACTACCTCTATCATATAGATGGGTATACAACACATCAGTCTATCCAGTCATCTCGATATCCCTCTCGAGTAATCTATGACCAAGATTATTTAGGGTATGTGTTTAAAGGTGAATCGGTCTCATTATTATGATCTCATCACGATCTGATTCTCATTACACAGATCCATGGACATCACAATATATATATATATATATATATATATATATATATATATATATATATATATATATATATATATATATAATATAATATAAAGTGATAAAATATTAAATAATATAATAAGAAAAAAGAATGCGTATTATGTCACACGTGTCATCACTAACGTGATTGGCTTATAAGGTACCTTTGACTAACAATTCGAGCATTGGGTTAGAAGAATCAGGTATTACGTCAAGAAGATCAGATGTTATTGGAGGTGAACATTCTGATAAATTGGGCAAGATGCTGAATGAAAGGACGATGCGTCGAAGGTTTAGACGAAGTGTCAGATAAGCAGATGACATATTGAACAACATGCTGAAGGCTTCATGATTGTAATTAGAATGGTTAAGTCCTGATCAAAGTCACTTAGAGTCTAATTGAGTTAATTTTTGGCTGCAACTATACTAACTTAATTAAAAATCCATTGAGCCTGAACCAAGGCTGAATTAGGCTTGTTGGAAGGCCAATTCGGTGACTTAAGATTGGCCCAAATGGTGGTACTACCTAAGAGTCAAAAAGCACAAATTATGCTTTTTCAAGAGTTGAAGTGGTAGTACTATTAGTACCAATAATGATATCACCCAAGATAGTAGTAGTACTACCTAGGCTGGCAATAGTACCGCTAGAGCCTAGACTCTTGGGCTATGTTCGGTAGTAGTATCATTCGGCGCCAACGATAGTATCGCTAGTACCTCAAAAACTTAGGGATCTAAATATTTGACTCTATTTTTGAAGTCATTTAGGGTCTATAAATACCTCACTCATGCTTGCTTGGTGCAAGAATGAAAACTTATGATTTGAAGTGTGTAAACTCTCTTGAAAAGTGTTGAGTCTCTTCCTTCTTGAGTTTAGAGATTATACTATGGAGGTGTGAGGTTTTTTGTAAAAGAGAAGTGTGAAGGTTCTCTCCTAATCCTATGAAAATAAGAAAGAGTTGTAACAAGGATAGTTGATCTTCACTTATTGGAAAGAAAATTAGTAATGAAAGTTGGTGGCCTCGAGGGAAGATGAATCGGGAGTGGATGCAGGTTGGGATGACTAAACCATCATAAATCAGTTTGTATTCTTTTCTTGCTTTCCCTTGTCATTATTTACTGATTTACTTGCTACTCTTACTCACATTTTTAATTAAATACATTTTTATATAGGTTTTATTAATCAAAATTTTAGTGTCTTTAGGATCCCTAACATTTTGATTTCATAAAACTCATATTGTATATATACTCATGCTCTCTTGAGTCAAACTCAAGCTTTACAAGTTGTTCAATTTAGTGATGGAGTGTCTTAGGTGATTTCGGTTATTTATGTAAATCACTCACTTTTGGATCATAATCGATTTTTTATGGGTGATTTCAATTATATTTTATCGGTTGAGGATAAGAAAAGAGGCATAAAGTTTTTTTTTTATCTCTCCTTTTGTTTATGTTTTGTGCAATTTTATTTCAAACCTAAATCTAACGAATCTTGGTTATATGGACCCTCCTTTTATGTGGTGTAATAATCAGAGAGGGTTCATATCAAGATTTATCTTAATAGAGTCTTTGTGAATATCACTTAGTTAAATCTTTTTGAATCCTCTACTATGACCCATTGATCGGGCTATCAAAACCTTAGATATGATTTCAAGTTTCAGGATTATTAGGCGAAATATGAGGAGTGTAGGCAACTTATTGCTCATTCTTGGTTGTATGGTAGTGGCTCATCCTCATCCTCTTCCTGAAATAGAAAGTAGCTTGGTAAACTGACATATCTATCCTTGAAACCAAGGAAGCTAATCTTCCCCTCACCCAAGTATGAATACACTATCATTTGTTCCCTTTATAATAAAATGTAGGCCTTTACTAAATAACTTAAGATTAAGTAGTGAACATTAACTGAAGCCTGTTGGATTAATTCTGATGAGCTCAACACTAGGTACAACCATAATCTTGTGTTTGTTTATCATAGATTGAATCAAATTAGGCACATTAAGGTTGATGGTACCTTAATTCTTGAGCTTAGATCCATCATGTTTGAGTTTATGAAATTTTCTCTAACTTCTGGAACGAGGTGAGTGAGAACTATGTATACCATGGTGCTTGGTCCCCTTCTTCCTATTGGGGCATTAGCGATGTAGAGAGTATGAGTTTAACTTCCATACTCTCTTGGGATGGGCAAGAAGAGTCTTGGTCTCGACACCTATAGGTATATAATTGAATTTTATTAATCTTAATAAGACATTATCTAATCGTAGTATGGTGCAAGCTTCCTAATCCTTTCATCGAGTATGCTTGACTTTTTTTCTTATTAAACTCGAACTTACGTAGTGTTTATTCCTAAATATTTCTTTTTTTCTAAACTTAAATATTATCGTCTTATCTCCCTGTGTACTATTAATTATTATATTCTTGCCAAAGTCATTGCCAACAACATTAAGCCTCTTTTCCCTACTCTTTATATCTTAGGAGCAATCAACTTTTTAGTTTTTTTGAGAAATTTATTGATTGGTTATTTACTTATATCTCCATACCAAATTTCTTTTACTTGATCAATAACAATGCCTCTCTTGGTTTTAAGGATAAAAGGGGGATTGGATAATGAGATCCTCAATCCTCATACTTGTTTATTTTAGTTTCTCAAATCCTTACTTTCTTCCTTAACCCAGCATCATTAGATAACACTCTTACTCCCCTATCTTTCAAGAGACCCTTTAAGCTTTCCCACCTAATGTACGTACGTTGATGATATTCTTCTATTTCTTTAGACAAACTAAAAATCTTATATAATCATTTTTGAAAATCTTTCAATTTTATAAGTGCATCAATAATTTAAAGATCAACACTCATAAATCTGAGATCAAATTTTCAAGATCCACCGATTGGGATAAAATTTACAATCGGTTTTGTATCAAAGAGGGTAGATTTCCTTTTTATATATTTTTGATATTATATCTTTTCTCATAGATCTATCTCCTTCCACAGTTTATGAATCCATAGTGCAAAACGTTAGAGCTAGGCTTCTTTCTTGAAAAACCCCTTAGTCATTTGGTGCTCATTAACTTTGTTTCGAATATTTTGTGGATGTCTAACATGGTTCTTAATAAGATGAATTATATTATTAGAGAGTTTGTGGTAAAAAAGGGTTCAAACTCGAGGTATTTATTTGATTTCATGCAACATTGTTACTTGTAGTGGTCTTGGCATCTATGATTTAGATCTTCAAAAGTTTTCTCTTCAGGCTAAGAAAATTACATAAAATGAATGTGTTAAGCATATATTTTATCGTTTATTTTTGGATGTTCTTAAGGGATCGATTTTCTATTCAATTTAAATTTTTTTTTTTTTGTAGAATGAGGGGGCATGTTTGTCTGAGAAGGGTAATGATAGCAGTAATACCTCAATCTATCGAGTCTTGATTACTATTAGGCTTTAGGGTTCTTCGGAAGACTAGAATGAAGCTTATTAATATAACCATTAGCTCAGGCTTAACATGTTGATTTGTAGAGTTGTGGTTTCCTTCCAAAATCTTATTGTGGCGCCTGTACTTAATCAAATCTTCGGATACGTCTTAGGGGTATTAGATGAGAACAATCAAATAATAGATAATTTAAATTAAATTTATGATGATTTTTTGGGTTATAATACTAATGATATTACTGTGGTTGTTATCTTTTTTGTATAGGTATGTGGAGAACAGGGATATCAAATTTTACAAAGCTATATTAATCAGAAGTTGATTGGTTGCTCGGAAGGAATAATATCTCTTCTCGAAGGGCTCTCAATCTCAATATTTTTGAGATTTCATATTTTTTTTATGAAATAAATTGGCTAGTCAGATTTGCGAGAGATATTAAATATAATAAGGTTTGGGTTAGTGATCCTTTAGATGAATTGGGTCTTTTGATTAGTTCTTGTTTTTTTTAAATAAATTTTAATTTTTAATAAAAAATAATTTGAGGCTGATTTTTTTTTTTTATTCCATCCAACATAAGTGTTTTTATTAGGATTATTAACTAATACCATAAATTATCATCGCACTGATCAAATTTCTTTTATCCATTAGGATTGACCAGCAACCCGATACCTAAACTTAATTTGTCTGAATCGGATCCGAAGATTGAAGGTACCAACGGATGCTCATTTGGATCTACAAAATTATCGGATTCGGATACTACACCGACCCGAATCCGTTCCGTCGTCAACCATGCGAGCGTCATATTTATTCTCTGGCTTCTGCTGCTACCCGACTCCGAAACTGACGTCGGGCGTGGTTTTCCTCGGGAAACTCCCCACCGCAACAACAATGCTGGGTGTCGTCGCAGCCGCTCTCCTCCTCGCCGGCCTCGTGGTTTTCCTCGTCAAATTCGCCACCGCAGATGGTCGATTCTGCAGTCCTGATTCAATCTTTCTTAGCCTTGCCCTTTTCTGAGAACTCAGATCCTTTTTCACTTGTGTTTTCAGGGGATTTTACGTTGACATCGAGGGGTGCGCCGAAGCGCGATGAAGTGGAAGGCAAGGTGATTGCGACCGTAAATATATTTTGTTCTCTAATATCAGCCGACTTGTTTGTGGTGATGATGATTCTTATTATTATTTTAAATGTTCGATTGGTTTTTGAGTGTGGGTGATGTTGGTTTGTTCTTAGGTTGTGTGGATTACGGGCGCAAGCCGTGGAATTGGTGAGTAGGATTTCTTTCTTTCTTTGTTAATTTACCTTATCTCTTTGTGGGAGGATTAGTGTTACCGGATGTACTCTCTCAACTTCATATGTTGATCGAGGAATAAGATAAAACCTTTGTGCTAGTATTTTCTTTTTTTCTATATAGTTTCGTTCCACTAATTAATTGCTTAAGATTTACCCTAATTACATGATTTAGTAGATGCCTCTTTTATCCTTTATTCAAGGACAAAAGTCTTTCATAGAACCTGACTAAATGCTGATGTCCTAAAACAAAACATGGAAATTTTATCATTTAAAGAACTTAATGATGACGTAGCCAAATTAGAATTGTTGAATAAGGTATTTAACCTGTTTGATTCACAGAAATACTAAACTTCATACCATAGATCTGTCTGGTGGAACCTTTAATGTTATCTACAGCATATATTGAAGTTCCTATCGAGAAGTTACATGTATTTACTCTATGATAGATTTCTTATCAGGATTTCCAGATAAAACAAAATTGTATTTACTGTAGTGGACATTGACCTTTAAATTTTGAGGCAGTTGCCTGAAATTAGTTTCAACATTGTTGTCTGTCACGCTTATGAAGTTACTCCCAGATTTGTTGCATTCTGAATAAGAATCTTACATGACCATATGGTAAATAGTACTTTTATTGGCCAACATCTACTTGTATATTTTGGCATGGATGTAAGATGACAACTATTTCTCTGATTAGTACAAAAAATTTAGGGGAGACGAGATTTCACCTTTTTTTAAGGTAGTGCTAAAGATATTTTATGTGTGGTAATTAAATAATATGGTCTGATTTCATAGTTAGAAATACGGTAAGAATCTCATGATAATTTCATAAGCTCGTCTCGTATTGATATTATTATTGTGTCTGATTTCCATGATATATCACCCTAAGTATATAGCAATCTACTTTGATACAAGAGACATAACATAGTTTTTTCACTTTAAGGGGAAATCCTTGCAAATCAATTCACCAATTTAGGAGCAAAGGTGATACTTTCTGCTCGTAATGCAGTGGAGCTTGAGCGGGTCAAATCTGAAATCATCAGTAAGTGTTCAGATATCATGTATTTATAACTTTTGGATTCCCTTTGACAAATAATAAAGCTAAATCCGGAAACAATCACACTATGATACTTGAACTGACCTTATGCTTTATCCATTCTTTTTGTATTAAGGTAAATATCCTGCTAGTAGAGTTGAAGTGTTGCCTATGGATTTGGCATCTGGTGAAGAATCTCTCAAAGAATCAGTATATAAGGCAGAATCTTTGTTTTCTAGTGCTGGAGTTGATTATATGGTCCACAATGCAGCCTTTGAACGACCTGTAAGGAAATATTGCCACGTCTTGTAGTGCTTATGCAGGGAATAATCCTTTTTCAAGCATGTATTAATAATTCAACTTATATTCTGAATTTCGGTGCATTGATATGTATTTAGCAATTGGCTTATCTATATTGTTGCAGAAAAGAAAAGCTTTGGATGAAACCGAGGAAGGACTTCGGGTATTACACAGTTATCATATTTTCTCAATTTCCTGATGTCACTACGGAATGCCATTACATTTGATTTTTGTTGTCATTTAGGCCACGATGAACATAAATGTCTTAGGGACAATAACTCTGACTCGCCTTCTGGCACCTTATATGCTTAAAAGAGGGAGAGGCCATTTTGTTGTGGTATGATGGATGGTGAATTTTGTTACTGGGATTAAAAACTTCTTGGTTTTGCTACCCCCTTGGTTTCTGATGATGGTTTACTTGTAGGTGAGTAGTGCAGCTGGAAAGTGTCCTTCACCAGGCCAAGCTTTATACTCTGCTTCCAAGCATGCTCTAAATGGATATTTCCATTCTCTACGTTCTGAGGTGTGTTATTCATATACTGCAATTTCGGGTGGAGACCTAGCATCTGTTGCCCAAGTTCTTAATCTAATTGACACAATCTCCTTGTGACGAAACAAAGCTGCTTACAGCTTCTATTTGTGCTGATTATATTATTACTATTATTAATAATATTATCAATTTTTGTTTTATGATTGTAGCTATGCCAGGAAGGGATTAAGGTGACCATTGTCTGCCCTGGGCCAATTGAAACATCAAAAACTTCTGAAACAAGTTCATCAGGAAAAAGTAGATCTTTGGAGGTTTGTTTGTGTTGTTCTGTTCCTTCCATTTGTGTGCTAGTGAAAATGTCTTCAAAAGCATAAGGATGAACTCTGTACAATACTATACTTTTTCATCATTGTAAGAAAATGCTTGTCATAAATTGTTTCTATAACTGAATCCCTGGTGCTTTGAAACTGGCTTTATTGAAACTGGATCATGTAAAGATTGTGTTGTCATTTGGAACAGTTGTAGTGTTTCATAAAGTGGGGGTGGATTTGCATTAGTCTTCGTTATTATGAGGGTTTATGTAAAAATCTGTTCCAAGATTTAGGTACCAATAAAAAATTCGGGAATTAGTATGCAAGGTTCTTGTTGATGAACTTTTTGACTTCTTTAGATGACTTGTTTTATTGGACCATAATTTTTCTTCATTTGGTGCTTTTCATGTTTGATAGAAGCGTGTGTCTGCAGAAAGATGTGCTGAGCTGATAATTGTTGCCGCAACCCATGGGCTAAAGGAAGCCTGGATATCATATCAGGTAATTTCCTTGCTGACCTTTGGAAAGGGTCGCTTTTGGTTTCTGTGAACCATGGGTTGTTTTTGTATCTTCAGACCAAGAAGTACTCTTTTTTGAAATGTAACTTCAAACATTCTGTTTAATACTGTTGCGGTCAGCTATTGAAGATATTTACACTTTAATGAACTTTAAAAATTCCTGCCAGAGTTTTCTCTTGTTCCCTAGTTTTTACTTAATTTTTTTTTTTCCTTCTTATTTGTACATTTTGACCAACCTTTGTGCTTTCTCATGCAGCCTGTGCTTTTTGTTATGTACTTGGTGCAGTACATGCCGACCATTGGATATTGGTTTATGGACCTGGTACCATCGTTTACTCATCTAGATTTCAAATATGCTATTACCTTCACATTCTCCAGTCTTGTGCTGTTATTTACATTGTATTCTGAAAAAAAAAGATTCATTGCATTTGTAGTTCACCTACCAAGTCTCTTAGCTGACAGATAAAGCATTTATTGGAGGCCGCTACTTAAACTAATTTATATTAGTTTATACATTTGTAGTCAATCCACATATTTTGATGGAGGGCAACAAATATTCAGAACTGTTTCATATTTTGTTGTGCCTTTTTGTACTCTCCTAGTGTATTTCTAGATAAGTGTTCAAAGAGTTTAACTAAAATATAAACACGCTTACATAAGGTTTTATTTGATAATTCAAGTTGAATTAATATTATGAGAAGGATAAAATTATTTTAAAGAGTCTTCTTGACATAAAAAAACTATATCAATTTGGGTTTTTGAATTGTCTTTATTGGTTGAAGTTTACACAGTGTTTAACCTATTTTATGTGTGGGAAATTTTCTTTTCAAACCAGGTTCTGCTGTTTGTCCTTTATTGATCTTGCTGCAATAAATTTTCTCTTACACTCGTCTTTTGTTCTATACCCAATGATTTAAAAAGTACTAGGCGCCAAAAGACGCTAAGATCCAAAAATGCCCAAGGCGCTAGGCGCTCGCCCGAGCGAAGTGAGGCGCTAAAATATAAAAATATATAATATAATTAATAAATATAATTATTTAAATTTTTAAATAAAAATATGTTATTAAATTAATCTAATAAATACAAATACTATTACTAGTATACAGTTAACAGTATATTGTATACTGTTAACTGTATACTGTATACTGTTAACAGTATAGTATCGAAGAGTGTAAGGGAAGAGTCGGAAGACCGAGGGTGTTGACTGAGAAGAGCGGGAGCGGCGACAGTGGCAGCGAGCAGCAGCAACGACAGTGGCAGCGGCAAGCGGCGATAGTGGCACCGGCAGTAGCGAACAGCGGGAGCGGAAGCGGCGAAAGGAGACAGTGGCAATGGTAGCAGCTAGCAACGGTAGTAGCAGCGGAAGCGACGAGCGGAGACAGTGGCAATAGTAGCAGCGGCAGCGGGAGCAGGAGCGGCGAGCGGTGATAGTTGGAGCGGCAGCGGTAGCAGCGAGCAACGGTAGCGAGAGCAGCGAGCTGTGACAGCAACAGCGGTAGCGAGCAGCGGCGGCAATAGCGTGAACGGCGAGCATGGTTAGGGTTGGGGAAGTCACACTGATATCGGTGCTTTAGTTGGTTCGATTGAACCAACTAAAACACCGAAGACCGAACCAGACCTCAAACGCTGGTTCGGTCGCCTGGTTTAACCCAGGCGCTTGCCCGAAGCGCTCGGCGCTTGGGCTCGGGCGAGCGCCCAGGCGGCGCCTCTTTGAAGCGCGTTGCCTGGAAATGAAACGAGGCGCTCGGGCCTCGCCTTGCCCGAGCGCCTAGGCGAGCGCCCGAGCGCCTTTTTAAACCATTGATAACACTTATCTATGGGTTTTCATGTGGTGTCTTTTCTATATCTGTTGGGAGACCTATTCTTCTTTTCTGTATTGATCGGGAGACCCTTTCTTCATTGCTTATGGTTTATTTGATCACTGTTATTTTGCTTCCTTTAAGATAAACATACTCTGGTCTGATCTTTCTCATGGAGTATGAGTGAACATGTTCAATTAATATCTTGCACATTGTTGTCTTTTCTTTTTCATACAACAGGAATGGACATGCTTAATCTGCATATTATAATAGATCATTTTTAGTGAAGTCTTCATAGCTTGCAACACTAAATTAAACATAGTTTGCATAACTGGTGCCTTGCTGTTTCTTTGGAGATGTGCAAGCTACAATAACAGATATTTTCTTATATATTTTCGGTAATTTGTATGTTATGGAATAGATCAAAATCTTCGTAAGAACTCAACGGGACCTTACCGCTCTAATTAGAGTTGTTACTCTGTTTCTGACTTCAATACCTGCTGGAAATGTTGCATTTTGTTTTTCTATCAAATTACCCCAAAATAGATTTCAATGCATCTCTATGTGCTCAATTGTGTAGCTAGAAACTTTCGAGCTTCCTCGGTTGGGAAAAAAGATCAACAAATTACTTTCTGGTTCAAAAAATACTGGACAACAAGGCAACTCATGAACTTAAATATTTTCATTTGTTTGGTTCTCCAATTCCATCATGGCTATTTCTCCCCATTTGTTGACCATCTGTTTAGTATCTGATCCAAATTTCTACTCTTTTTCCATCTAATTTTCCTGAACCAACTATTGTGATTTTTTTATATTCAACATGTTATCAGACGAGGAAATGAATCTTAAGCTTGATACTGTATCTTGAGATTTTAACAGAAAAATAGACCTTGAATTGGGTGTGCAATAGAGTGAGAAACATGGTTCCTATCCTTGAATCTGTTCAAGCTCTTAGCCATAAGTGTCACTGTTGCTTCTGATTCTAAATCTACCAATTTCTTCTAGGAACTCATTTTCATCTGAGCTAGTAAATCATGTTTATGTTAAAAAGGTTCAATGTTGACACCTAATGGATATTTTACAATGTAATTGACTTTAGTTCCTCGTATTACTGTTCTGGTATTGCCTGGAATGTGTTACCTTCACAAAAAGTTGAACCACAAGATGTAATTTGATGAGATGTGAAGTATGAATTGAATTACATTGAATGACTCTGATATCCACAATCCCCATGGTTATCCTTCTCTCTAATGCTGTCGGATTCATTTTTGATGTTGAAGAACTTTGTCACTAACAGATTATTTCAACAAATGCAATTGCCATCGTGTATGGACATGCAGTACATAACCCTTGCATTCGGCAAAGCAACATTAACTCGTTCATTTTTTGAGCTATAAGTTGATTTTCACTTGATTGTTTGATCATTTTGGACTTGGTAATTGTAGATATCCTTTCTGTTACTTTCTCAGATTGGGAAAGATCCACATAATTGTGTATCGTTTGTATATCTATAATCTTCTTTTCCATTAGGGTTCTTCAAATACTTTGGTTAGCCCATGTATACAATGATAGAATCTTACTTGTCACTCAGGTCCATTTCTTTACATTTCAGTAACTTAAGTACCCTTTGTTAATAACAATGAACTAGTTAAAGCTAGAGGATAACAATAATGTGGATCACAATCTTTAATTAGTGACTTGGGTCAATATTCTTAATTTGTTACTCGAGAATAGTCTGATGAAAGATGCATGCAAGATCTACACTATTTGGCATTTTCCAATCGGCCACTATAATTGTCTTTTCCTTGCATGTCGGATCACTGTGAAGTTATAAAACTAATTTTTTGGCGGCTATTTGTATATTAGAATTGAAAGCAAAACTAATTTTTTGGAACACAAAGGTTTGGAAAAAAAAAACATATGGCACAGGTTTCCTAGAAAAATTGTTCGTCAGTTGGCACTTTGAAATTAATGTTGTCAAATGCAGCCCTAGAGTGTATTCAAAAGCTTGCTTTTGTAAGGTTTTACATAATTATGGTTTAGTATAAATTGTGAATCAGTTGGCTATTACTGCCTTCCAAATATGGTCTAGAGAAGGAACCAAAAATTATCATCATGATTCACTTGCTATTTTATGCATCAGATGCTGTAGAAAATTTTGAGGTCTAATTTCTTCTTGATTTACTGGTCTCCTAGATTGGTGCAAACCGGCTGGATGCGGCAGCAAGCAAGAGAAGCGCATACAGTTGGAGTTTGCTGTTTGGTCATAAGAAATCAGCATGATGTTGTCTCCGCTTCACGAGTCAGATTCTTGAAGATTGAGGAGCATGGACAAAGCAAATTGCATTAGATCCAGTAACTCATTGTTTTGCCAGAATTGTGTGCTTGTTCTCCCGAATTAAGAAATCATACATCTGTATGATCAGAACAATGACATCGAAATGTTCTAAGGTCTAAAATCATGCACCGTCTGAAGGTCAAATCATGTAGGCTTTTGTAACAATGTTATAAGTTGCGTGAGTTCCACAGAATTTGCAAGTAATTAGCAAGTCATTATTGTAGTTTGCAGTCCGATGGTAATAGCTTATGGGAATTTTTGAGGTACAATTAAAAAAAAAAGAACAAAGGACCCAATTTATAAGTAATACTTGATGTGAGAAGCTATACGCAAAAGAAGAAAGTATAATTGCTGTGTCATAAACTTCTCTAAGACACTGCATATTTTACAATGAAATGGAAAATGGAGATCTGTTTGCAATTTCTTGTGAGTAATGATTTGTTTCTTTCTGTGACATCTCCAAATTATGATGGTTCTAAGAATCCACATTACAAAAGATGAGAAGAAATGCCCCTTTGCCACACTTTTGATCTCAGTATGATCTTTGATTTGACAAGTTGTCGAAACATGATTCATATGCCGACAAGAACAAAATATACTTGCAATCGGAACAAACAAAATCGATGCCTGACGAGATTACAACTCAGTATTGCATGCATGATCTCATAAAATCTCTTCAGGAGTTCAGGAAATGGTTTACGAGCTAGAGAGCATTCTCCATACAGGATTACTGATACGGGAGGATTAAAACCTTGAAATCAATCAGTCTCTTGATACTTGCAGGTGTTCTCAGAAGCCATCATCATCGGGGTGGGATTCTGAAACAACAGATTGTTCCATCAATGTGACAGCAAACTTTTCAGGAAAAATGGCTCATAAATCTCATTCAAGATCTTCATCCTGGTTGGCTATCTATCAGGAAGTTACCTAGGCACACTTTATTATTGTTTGAAGCATATGAATTCATCCTTGTTTCGTCGGACAATAGCCATGTATTAACGAACTCTTTTTGGGATGAAGACTGTTGTGGTCCTCCAAGCATGTCAAAATTGATCTGAAGACTGAATTGGTGTTCATTAAAATAAAAATTAAGCTTTGAGTTGAACTTTCAAATCACAATATGGAATTCAGTTGGATTTTGTCGTCAAAGGGGGCCTTTTTTAAAAGATGAATTTCCTTCCAACAAGTCAAAAGAGAATCCACTCCACTCCACTCCACTGATACTAAAAAAGAATCCAAAACAGGAATACATAGTACCTCCAACTAGTGAAAATAAGAGTAATCCTGTGACCTATGTATGGCAATAGGATAGGATCCACGTTGATGTAAAGCATGAGGCCAACATTGTGTACTTTTCCAAAGTTGACGTCTTGTTAGTCTCCAACAGGCCTACGATTGCGACATGAATGTCCCCAAAAAGAAGAGCAGATAGTTTACTGCTTGCTCGCACACAAATGAGAGACTTGGATCGATCTGATTTTTGACGAATTACTACTCATTTTGGGCGCTTTCATGTCAAAGCTTCCCTAGTGGCCTACAAAAGCAAAAAATGATCATGACTGCTAAAGCAAAGTACAGCAATAATTTAGATGGAAAAAAGAACTCTCGTGTTCTCTTCTGTGTTCACACGTTCTATCCAAGCTACCCTCTGTTTCGATCTGATTTATGAACCAAGCTTCTTATTTAAGCCTGTCTTCCTTCCCTCAGAACTAGAGTTCCTACATCATCTTAAATCAACATTAATCATGTTGTCAATCTTCCTTATGGCTGGCTGCATGTCCTTCAAAATTCTAGCTAGCTCACTTTCTCCACACTCTTCTTCAACATGTGGCCGAGTGCAACTCGACCACCAGCAGCTGGCATCGAGCGACAAGTGATTGGTCGGGTCGGGCAAGGAAGAAGCAGCAGTGGAATGCTTTAACAAAAGCTTTATCTAAATCCCACTAAATGTGGACCACAGCAACATCTGCATGTCTGATTCAAAAGGCACATAAGCCACTTCTTTTACCACACGCTAAAGCCCACCATCGTTGCTGAGAAGACCATGCCTTGCCCTTTTCCCTGATGTCACTCGGTTGTGCCACTAATGAGCTCAAACAATTCTTTTGTCCGAATGCAAATGATGTGTTAAGATAACAAACACCGCACAAGTGGAAGAAGACAACAGAGGAGTTGCAAATTCGCGGGTCATGTCATTATTCCATGGAATTTGATCCTTGCTCATGTTCATTTGAAGAACAAGAGCTGCTGCATCTTGGAGGTTCAGTTCAGTTCAGTTTCTAGTGGAATATGATGCTTGCAAGAGATTTTGTTTATATGTATATATATATATATATATATTCCTGTGAAGCTAGATGGAATAGTATTTTATTCCAACCACAGGAACTTGCTTTTCGGCTCCTTCATCCAATCTAAACTGCAAAAATGGAGATGAAAGCCCAAAAACTTGCAGGGAAAAAAATCACAACAGATACTTCAGAGTTCAAACATAAGAGGATGGGAATAAGGATCTTAAGAAAGAGAGTAATCAGAGAAGGAGATTCGTTGAAGAAGATCAACCTGGTTCTAAGGTTTCCAAGCACAAGCCCACACCACTGGTTGCTGCTTCCACGTCAAGTAGAGGCCTGAGGCATCTCCTTCGGCCGGCATGAGCGACCACCCTGCCCGATACCTCTTCAGCAACGCCTTCAGATCGTCGACGACATCGTCGCTGAAGCTGTTGGATGAGAAGGCCTCGATTAGTCTTCGGCACCACTGGCTCCCTTTCTCCCTCCTCTCACAGTCTCCAACCCTATCACCATCACAAGCGAGAACTCTAAGAATACTCCTGGAGCACTCCCTTTCCAGTGCCAATCTCTCGTTGCTGGTGGGCGGAAAGCTCTCCTCGAGCGTCTCCAAGTACGTGGTGTAGAACCGCAAGCACTCGTCGAAGCACACGGCAAACTCGCCGCTGCAACTGGTGAAGTCAGCCTCTTCCTCCACCACGGTGACCACCCGTGGGCGTAACGTGCGCAGCATACGTATGAAGGCTTGCCTCTGTTCGACGCCCACACGTCGCAGGGCCCCGATGCAGTTCACTGCGACGGCCTCCCCCTCTCGCAACCCTAATTCCTCTTCTCTCAGCTCGTCTAGCCTCGACAAATCACGTATCACATGGAACTCAAATGGCACTCCCATCAACCTCGCAAACCTCCCCATTCTCTGCCCTATCTCGTCCATGACGAATCCGCCGACGCCGGCCGTCGCAACCACTGTCAGCCTCAAGTGCGGACTATCGTCGTTTCGGGTGGCCAAGGCCTCCAGTAACGTCGGCCATTGAGTGCAGTACGTGTTGCTGATATCGATTATGTGAAGCTTGGCTTCTCCTTCCAAAGCCTCCAAGATTGCGCCATTGGATGCTGCGTGACCGAACGTTGTCCAAGGGCTTACCTCTTGAAACTGGAGGATGACCTTCCTCGTGGACTCAAAAGAGTGGCTCATCTCTGCCACCGAGAGGGACGTCTTGTAGCAACGCTCTCCCGACTCAGTTGCTTTGCAGAAGAGAGCTTGCAGGAAATACGATGCAAGCTTCTGCTCGCAATCTCCGTAGGGGGATGCGAGCTCATTCAACATCCACAACAGGCGATGAATCTTACCTGAATCTTTCTCGGATATGGCCCTCGCACACTCTCGAAGGAGTTCCGCGGCCCACTTCTCGGTGGCATCCGGATCGTCGAGCTCCAGCAAGCAGCTAGCAGATGCCTGATGGTGGTGAGGATGTGGATTCTGCATTGTTATCTGATCGATCAGATGACTGATTCCTGGGGATCATGCAATAAGGAGGTGGCTATGGAGAGTGAACTGGAATATCCATGTGAAGGTTTCATGTCTTGGGGAAAAAGATAGATAGAAATGAAATGACAGGATAAGCTAAGTTCATCACCCGATCTCTATGGAGCAAATCCTATTTTAATCAAGTCATTGTCATGATGACAATCCAACAGTGTGTCTGCTTATCGACTTCAGATTCGAAGGTAAACGATCGATAGTAGCAAGTGATGTCTCATCATTATTAATCTCATGACAAGTAATTGCCAGCTTCGCATATAAAAGAAGCTACAACATCGTAATTATTACTGGTTAGCAACTGTATGAAGTTTGTAGTGTCGCATTATTTGCAGAAATGATGAAACTGTGGATGATGCAGTTCATTAAAATTCTTATGCAATAGCATCTCACCTGCAGCATCTTGTTCATCGTCTTTTGTGGGAAGCTGTGGCGTTTCTGTTTGGATCGAGCAGCTATGTGGCATTCACACATAAGGCAAAAGCATCTCTACGCAGGCTCAAAGCATTGGCCACCTGCGGAATCCATCTTTTTGTTGGTTAAAGTTCTTATCTTTTATGCGCACCAGAGAGGAAAAGATATATATATATTATTTTCAGATGTTAGCTCGAATCCATTTAAAGGTACATCGATCCTTCTTAGGTCCTCAAACCTAGCAATAGAAACGTATACAGAGAAGCAATCAAAAGATGTCGCTATCTATGCTCTTGTAATCTTCTTCAGGTTTTATGTCTTGTCCAAACGATGTTTTCAAGTAGATGGAGCTGAGACAAATTAAATAAATGCAAACAAGCAAACGAAGCCATCAAAAGACTGACAAAGCCAAAGTGCAAAGGTATCTCAACATTAGTTGTTCGAGTGATGAAGCTTCAGAAGAGGACAAGACCAAACCTCTTTTGCTTCCTTCTGCCATTAAATTTTTGATCTCACAAAGATCACATCTTGGGAGGAAGGAGAGACCGCTACCATGTTGAGCATGAAAGAAACATCCTGCAATTAATTGCACCGCGGCAACCATCATCTCTCACTGTGGCAGGAGCTACATTACCTAAGTGCTTCTGGTGGCAATCAAAAGGCTTGGCACTGCTCTTGCCACGGATGCTTTGTTTGGCGCACCAGGTTTATAACGCCCATTACCGCTGAGCAAAAGAAATAGTTTTAGTGACCTAGAAAGGGTGATAGAGTGAGAAACCTATAAGCATGGTAAAATATGCATGAAAATTTTTTTATGTTAAGATTAAAATTAAATAATAATAGATCAAATTTATAATACGTATCTTTTAATACTATCGGAAAAGAACTTTATTAGATTGGTAAGAGCACCATATTTGGATATGAAAATCTCTATCGATTTGAACTAAAGTCTTTTTCTCCTCTTTTCCTACCAACTCACCTATAGGTATGTGAGAAT